TAGTCTCGGGAAACGAACGGAAGTCATTCGCGTCTTGCGAAACGGTGATTCTCGGTGATTGACCGAATATCGATGCAATTAACCTTCCGTATCTTTTCCCTTTAGTTTCTTATACTTTCGACGAGGAAATGCTTTTAGAGTTCATTTATTTCAAAAGATTAATATGCATTTTCTGTCCCTTCCGTTGTTGAAATTGTGACGTTGCTACGACGATTTTTCTTTTTAATTCTGTCACTCTTCGTATATTCTACAGATATCTTTTTATTAGTTACGAATAATTCTGTTCATATTTATGAAGATCTAAATTGTAAAACCAAGACAATTGAATTTTTCTTTTATGTTTCGTACGGATATGTGCTTGAACAATGTGAAAGAATTTTTTTGAATTCTGAGAAACAATTTGTTACCTGATTGTAGGTTATAAAATTGTATACTTTTACTGTATACTTGATTATGTATTTGATTATAGAACGCTGGATTTTTAAAAAGGTTCTTAAGGTGACAAAGTATTAAAGCATGAATATAAAAATGAATATTTTGATTCTTTTTCAAATTTGCAAAGGACGAAATTTTCATCTTTTTCGAGTGAAAGAAATAGATCAAAATTTTCAACACACCTAAATGCAAAAGTCGATAAAAATTTTGAAACGAAAAATAAACAACATATGATCAAACCATTCTCGCAATCACTAGCACATAATTGATACCAAAAATTTAATTGGTCAAATCATAAAAGTATTAATAGCCGAATTTTTTGCAAATGCACACTCAAAAATTGCATTCGCTGGATTCGTTAAAATGTTACGCATCAATGGAGAATCCTGTTTGCGAGGATTGATTTTTATACAAGGAAGTCTATAAATGGAAATCCATTCAGCGCTGTATAAAACTGTATTTTCGGGGTTGCTCTAATTAGCGTGAGTTTTGTACTTTATGCGCATTTACAAAAAATTGAAATATACAAGAAATGCTTACGGGTCAACTCTGATGATCGAATACTCTCAGCATGATTTTTGGGACTCTGGCGGAAAATTAACCCCTTGTTTTACAATAACGTGTCACTCGTGACGCACACTATGTTTCGAATGTGATAAACTAGACTCGTATTTTTACTGCAATTGTATTTCGGGTTCAATTCTGATTATAATCTGTGTAATCAAAGCTTGAAGAATATATTCTGTACCTAACATTTTAACTTTCTTCAGTTATTTTCACGTTGTAGGAATAATTAGGTAATTGTAAATGACGTAACTGTTTAGATATTTGTAGGTTAAGGGTTGATTGATGATTGATTTTATATGGGCCTCGACTGCTGTGATCATTGGCCCAATTTGTAGGTTAATGGGTTAATGTGTATCTTACGTTATTTTGATAAGGAGAGACAAGGATATTTGGTTTTCAAAAATGTGCCAAAATGCCACTTTGGTGTTGCCAAAAGTTTGAAGTCAAGAAGCAATATTTTGTCATGATTTCTTTTCCAAATATCCTTCATATAATTCTCCAGTGCGGTAAAGAGCTCGACCTTGCAATTTTACCCTTAAATCTTCGCAAGAAGGAAATATGCAAGTTTTTTGTAGAAGAAAGCGTTCTTACCAACCGGAGAATTATAGAGGAATATTTTGGAAAAGAGATCCTGATAAAATATTGCTTCTTGGCTTTAAAATCTTGGCAAAACGAAATTTTTCTACAATTTTGGAAAGCAAATATCTACTGCCCTTGACTCTTCTGACCAATCTGTGTAATCAAAGCTTGAAGAATATATTCTGTACCTAACATTTTAACTTTCTTCAGTTATTTTCACGTTGTAGGAATAATTAGGTAATTGTAAATGACGTAACTGTTTAGATATTTGTAGGTTAAGGGTTGATTGATGATTGATTTTATATGGGCCTCGACTGCTGTGATCATTGGCCCAATTTGTAGGTTAATGGGTTAATGTGTATCTTACGTTATTTTGATAAGGAGAGACAAGGATATTTGGTTTTCAAAAATGTGCCAAAATGCCACTTTGGTGTTGCCAAAAGTTTGAAGTCAAGAAGCAATATTTTGTCATGATTTCTTTTCCAAATATCCTTCATATAATTCTCCAGTGCGGTAAAGAGCTCGACCTTGCAATTTTACCCTTAAATCTTCGCAAGAAGGAAATATGCAAGTTTTTTGTAGAAGAAAGCGTTCTTACCAACCGGAGAATTATAGAGGAATATTTTGGAAAAGAGATCCTGATAAAATATTGCTTCTTGGCTTTAAAATCTTGGCAAAACGAAATTTTTCTACAATTTTGGAAAGCAAATATCTACTGCCCTTGACTCTTCTGACCAATATAACACATCACTCAATAAGTCTCCGGTCTAACTAAGAAAAACAAATTTTTTTTTAGAAATTCCACTTTAATCATCAATATACTTTCCTTCCAGTGTGATACATTGATTCCAACGCTCCTCTAACTTTTCAATTCCCTTTATATAAAACGATTTGTCTTTGCCCCCAAAATAAGCCTCAGTTTCTGCAATCACTTCTTCATTTGAGCCAAATTTCTTTCCCTGGAGCATTTTTTTCATATCTGCAAAGAGCCAGTAGTCGCTAGGGTCCAAATCTGGGGAGTACGGTGTGTGGGGAAACAATTCAAAACGTAATTCATTCAATTGAACCATCGTGTTCATCGACTTGTGACACGGCGCATTGCCTTCGTGAAACAGCAAACGCGGCACCCACTTTGGAAGTAATTTGCACATGCCCAAATTTTCATGCAAAATTGTGAAGACACTACCTTCTGATATCTTTAAGGCATCAGCTATCTCATGCAACTTAAGTTTACTTATAAGTTGACTTATTGAGTGACGTGTTATTATAAAATAAACAAGGATCGTCGTTTATCAATTTTTCGCCAGAAGTTTCAAAAATTCTCAAAAATGTTCGGAGAATTCGGTCACTAGAGTTGATTCTTAAATTACATCATACGAGGCCTTTATTTCATTATATTCTTATAATCGATGTAGTTTCAATTCTTTTTTGTTAAAAATAATGGAATTATGTTGGTTATCATGAAATTATTAATGTTTTTATTCCTGAAAATGTAGCAAAGTACAATGCTTGTGAATGTAAGAATAATTTAGTTAATATGAAGACATCTTGTCGGAGTCGGCCATTGTCAGTGTTACACAACGTGTAATTAGAGCGCGCGAAATTCGAAATACGTAACTTAAACTGATTGGTAAATCGCTTATAAGTTTCCCATAATTTTCTATATTAAACCGATAGTATTACTTTAATTTCATAATTAATATTTGTTTATTTCTTGGTTTACTATATCATGCACATGTTATAATCAATATTAACCAATATTTAACACTCATTCATTCATTTATTGATCAAATATGAAAATTAAATATACAAATATACATAAAATATTTTTTACTTAATTGTATTAAGTAAATCAACGCATACTTTTTGACTGGCTATCCTTACCCGAAATATTAAAAATGAAAATAGTTTTTAACAATTTATAGCATTTTTATTTTTATCCACTTTCTCAATATAGGATTCCTTATTTTAATTTAATAAATTCAAAATTAAATTTAATGATGAGATCACACAAAAATTTATAATATGAACAATTAACTTCTATGATATCCTAAAATCATTTTACGCGAAATATTTCATAGAATCTGCACACAAAAGTTTACAGTTTCGTTTAAAGCAGAAACGTGTAATTTCAAAAGTGCCTTCACAGAATTTTCATTTGAAGTAGTTTTCTCGAATATCTCGGAAAGTATTCGTAGTACCAGAAAATGTTTAAAATACAAGTGAAAATTTTACGAAACATAATTTCAGAAATTATTCCTGTACAAGATACGAAATATCAAAAAATGCTTTACTGGATTATCAAGAAAGATGCAAGATTATTTATCGAAGAGGAAAGGTGCAGATTTCAGTAGTATGATATTAAAATTTCATTTCCAAGAGGAAAATATTGCATGATACAATACAAATGAAAAACAGTCTCCTCGCGTAAGGACGTTAAAAAGCTCTGAAGTTGTGGATCGTGGAAATAACCAGGAATGGGATAAAGTTGTTTTTACTGGCGAGTACTCTTTGTGAGTACTTCAATTCGAAAAGCTTGGTCTCTATGTTGAAATCAGCTCATCCAGCACTACGTAAATGTATACATTTTGTAGCTTTTTCGTCGACGTGCGTTTGCCGTTCTATGTTATTTATATAAAACTTAAATTATATAAAAAGAGTTTCTGTACATGACAAAATTATAAAAAAACTTGAACAATTAATAAAGATTATTTAGCCGTTAATTTTCAAGAGTTGAAAAATTATCATCTTTAAGACGACATTTTTTATTTTAAAGTAATCGCAACTAGGTAAAGTAATTTAGGTAGAAGGTCTAGGTAAAATCTAGGTAAAAGTATTTACTTAAAGCAAATACTGCAGCAAAATTTATGTGTGATCACAAAAAGCATCGTAGCAGGTTCTATGTGTGCAACTGTGGATAATAATGGGTTCAGCAAGCTTCAAACTATGTAAATATATGGTACGCTGGGTTAATTTATAATCGAACTGATATAAATGAACTGATCACAGCTACAATATTAAACCAGGGAAAACAAATTAACATACCATGTAAATTTTGTACATAGTACTCGCAAAAATAAAGATTCGATTAGTTTTACAATTTTGGAAATTTGAGAATTTAAATACTCAGAGTTTGAAAATTTGATCGTATAGAAATTTGAAAGTTTGAATTTTCGAGTGTGTAGATATTACGTGAACTTATGAGTTTGAGAATTGAGAAACAAAGAAAGATTAATATAATCGAAATATACGTCTCTTGAAATCATTTGAATTTCATCCGAAAATGCGGCAAATTAATAATTTCTGTTTAAGAAACACATACCTAATCTAATGTAATTGTGGAGAAGAAAAATGAAACAAAACTGAACAGTGTTTCTCAATGAAGCAAAGGGATTTTTTAAATTATTCTCATCACTCACCCTAATTATGCTGGATTTTCCCACCCCTGGTGCACCGAGAAACACAACTTTGACACGATCCAGAGTGTCTGCGGGGCTTTCTTCCTCTTTCGATCCGCTTTCGGTATTTTCATAGGTTATTGTCTGGCCTCTCCTCTCCAAGTAATCCAGATCAAGCTCTGCAAAACACATACACAATTTCAGTTTTAAAATATAAAAATTAATCCCTTGCCTTATGATTTATTTGTCAGGTGCGTCAGTCGGAACTACGTACAGCTACAATATTAAAACAGAGAAAAAAAGTTGACATGTTATGTCAATTTTGTATTCAGCTATCCTTGACTATGCAAATTATAATTGGACTTAAACTCAAATTGAAGCGTATTCAAAATTCGAGTAAGATATGTCACAGTTGAAGCGTGAGTGCGTCACGTGTGGGAGACGGTATTTGTAAGGCAGGAGGTAAAACCGATGATAAATTGCTAGTGCTTTGTAAATTTGATGAATCATCGTACAACAGTGTGTATTTTTAGCACAGTATTCTGATCCATCTAAATATTCCTGTGACACATATAATTTCTTCTTTTAACGGTTTTAAAGGTCAGATTTGGTAAGTAAAATAGTACGTATATGTTTTTTTGCGTATGCTTAGGTAACTCTGATATTTTTATTTTGCAAGTTTAGAACTAGTCTTCTAAATATGCTATACTTCCGCTATTATACCGTAAATCTTTGATAAATTTCAGCCTGTACTACGAAAGACCACAAGAATAAGCTTGGTGTTCTTCGTTAATGCACTCTAATAATGGAGCGGCCATTTTAATCTTTTTAAAACAAATGACACGAGCGAGCTATTAAGTTGAAACTTAGTAGAGAAAAGAAAGAAAATGGAAAACAATGAACATACGAATAACAATGTAATCTCGGTAAAAGGTTGCAAACTTATTCCAGATAATTATTGGCTCATCTTCCTGCATTTTTATTGGCATAATAAAATAAATCACTGGAATAAAATTAACTCTCTCAGGCTAAATGTTTGCAATTACTTAATTCGTTTACGACGAAAGTGGAGTCACTTCGTTTTTAAAGAAAATTTGACTTTTTATACTTTTGAGATCTTGTATTTCACAGAAAAAAATGTAGAAAATTAGATTTTCTTAAATAGTATACTGAAAAATTATAGTAAACATTATAAAAAAATATACTTTTCAGTAAAGACGGTTTCTTTCTTAATTTTATTACTCTTTTATTTTTTTTTCAATTTCTATAAAAATTATTGTTGTCTTTTTTTTAGAAATTCTTAAATAGAAATTATATTTTATATAATTGTAGGTATAGAATTATAATTATAGTTTTATGTTATATAATTTTGAATGATTTGAGAAAAATGTTAAATGTTTAAGTTAATTTACAGAAGGGGAAGTTTCTATATTTTACGAAAAATATTGAAAAAAATATTGAAGTATTTATTTGTTCACGTTGCGTCAACTGAGAGTTTAATCGAAATAAAATTGGGATGCAATTTTGTATACGTTGGGAAACCAATTGTTGAATAAATATCTGCCGTACACATGTCAAAACAGTAATTATCTCGAATCCCATGTTGTTCAGTGCCCAAAAAGCGTAAAGACGTTTGCTGACTTTCGAACAAATTAAAAACTGAAGCTTCAAAATATGGAGTGAAAATATATTTCTTTGCAACAAAAATTTGTACTATACTAAAACTAACAATCGATTACTTTTGTTGAAAATTAATTTTCGAAAGTTATTCTATATTATTTTACGTTCATGAAAAAAAAAAATAGTTACAAACAGTTTTCATTGAATGCAATTTGATATAAATTTAGTTATTGTATTCATATTACGAATTTAATTAATTCCAGATCAGCAAATTTAAACAACATAACGTCGCTGCATTATTTAATTTATTAAATTGTTGTGGAAATAATTGCGTTAATAAAATTTTATTTGCAGAAGATAAATTCGGTATTTATGATAAATTTTTTATTATTTTATGTTGTGTTATGATTGTTATTGTATTGGCCGATTTAAACAATACAAAATTTCAACTGTGTTTCATATTTTTCCTTAAATCAATACATTAGCAATTTATGCTTAATAAACTTTAAAAAAAAATGTGTAAATAGCTCTTACTGTTCAAAAACTATCAATATTGATACAAATATTAATACATTATTAATATAATATTATAAGTATAATATTAACTAATATTTGCATTAATAAATAATTTCATAAGAATGTCTAAAAAACTGAAATTATTTAAAAAATATCGATATTGATATAAAAGTTAATATATCACTGATATAATATGAGAAATATCACATAAATTAATATTTGTATTTAATATATCATTTCACAAAAATGTGCAGGTACGGTTTCAAACTTATTAATATTGGCATACTAATATAAAATCATGAATATAACTTTAATTAATATTTATTACAATATTAATAGTAATTGACTAATTATACGCTTGTTCATTAATTAAATACAAGCTTTATTATTATTTAATTATGTACTGAATAATCTTAGTGAGTCAAAAACTGCTTTGAAAAAATAAAGATTATACATATGTACACATATGTACTTTATACATATATAATTGTATTGTACATATATGTACATATGTATAATCTTTATTTTTTCAAAGCAATTTTTGACTCACTAAGGTTATTCAGTACATAATTAAATAATAATAAAGCTTGTATTTAATCAACAAGTGTATAATTACTTAATTACTATTAATATTGTAATAAATATTAATTAAAGTTATATTCATGATTTTATATTAATAATGCATTAGTACACCAATATTAAAATATCAAGTTTGATGTTATACATATGTACATATGTATATGTATAAGTACATATGTAAAGTACATATGTGTACATATGTATAATCGGTATTCATAAAGAATTTTGTTATACATATATCAAAATATACAATACACATTGCTATACAATTTTGTTATTTCTATAATTTAATCAATATCATGTAACGAAAGAATTTAAATAATAATATTAACAATAACTGAAAATCAAATGATTATTTAGTATTTCACAACGCAATTCATAAGTCTCAAAATATTTTTCTAAAAATTTATGACTACAATGATTCATTATTTTACTCAGCGAAATTTAGTCAGTCGGGGAATATAGAGATTTTAAATACACTAAAATTTCTCCAGTATTTCACGGACCATGGAGAATAAAGGAATATTTGAACGTAGAAACTGGAATTTTACATAAAGTTGAACAGTAGGTATGAACTGGATGGCTCGTGCGATTCAGTTGTTACAAAAATATGAGATCCGTACAATTGCATGCAAATTAGTTTTTTACCCTTTTCAAACAGCTATTGCTAACATTTGCATTCCTTTCGCCGGAATATTCTGTGAAAATGAGTAACCTGCCACCAAAGTTTTTCTCTCATCGCGTTCTACTTTATGAATCTTTGTCATCACAAATTTTTATTGTCGGTGTCCAATTAAATAATTCTTCAAATAACAAGAAAATATGACTGCGAACAATAAATTTGAATAATTTTGTCGCAGTGAAAAATACTGCAGTGGTATATTTCTGTTTAAATTTCTGCCCTAAAGCTTCAGAATGTAATCACTTTTTACTATGTATACTTTAAATTAAAATTTCTATGAGATATTTATCTAAGAACTTAATCCAATGCTCTGCGCTACAAATTTTTACATAAAAGAAAATTAATGAAAAATTATAATGAAAAGATACTAATAATAAAAATATGTAGTGTATATGTATAAATAAAACACATATTTCTCTATGACTTTTGTTGATTTGATAATGCATGAAGAAGTGATAATACAAATAAGTGAAAATATACCACAGTATTATTTAAGCAATTCATAGATTTGAGGATTTGGAGATGTAGAAATTCGGGAATGTAAGCAGTTGGGAGACTTAAAATTTGGGAATGTAGGGTTTGTAGTATAGAGGAATTTGGTAATTTAGAAATTTGGGGATGTAGGGATTTGGAAAGGTAGAGATTGTGGAATGTAGGAATTTGGGGCACTTGAAAGTTGGGGATGTAGAGATTTGGAAATGTAAGAATTTGGGGGTTCAGAAATTTGGGGATGTAGGCATTTGGGAAGGTAGAGATTGTGAGATGTAGGAATTTGGGGTTCTAGAAAGTTGGGGATGTAGAGATTTGGGAATGTGAGAATTTGGGGATTTAGAAATTTGGGGATGTAGGAATTTGGGAAGATAGAGATTGAGGGACGTAGGAATTTGGGGTTCTTGAAAGTTGGGGATGTAGAGATTTGGGAATGTGAGAATTTGGGGGTCTAGAAATTTGGGGATGTAGGGATTTGAAATGTTAGCATTGTGGGATGTAGAAATTTGGGAATGTTGGAATTTGGAGATGTAGGGATTCGGGGGTGTAGGAATTTGGGAACATAGAGATTTGTGTATGTAGGAATTTGCAGACGTTGAAATTTGAGAATCTAAGAATTTGTGAATGCAGAAATTTGGTAACGTAGTACCTTTTAGAATCTGTGAATATGAATATCTCCCAACTTGTGGATCTAAGAATTTAGCAATTTTTGAAGGAAAATAGTTTCATTCCATACTTGTCTACTTCTTCCAACTACATATTTACTACAGACAAAACAAGAAATCCAAAAATTCCATCACCTACTGCCAAGACTACCAATGTAATGTGAATTCTCCATAATTTTACAATGCACTTTCCATCATCTTATAATCGTTGCCAGGCTTCCGTACAGACAACCGAGTCGGTTTATTAAAGGAAAAGCAGAGCCTGGGGCAGTTTTACAACTTAAATTGTAACCCATCAAATTTAGCCGACGTACTATCACAATTTGTGACCGTACAATTTCCTGTACCTAAGTAAATCCCTAACGATGCCTGGGGTGTCGGTTAGGATCTGGAGTTTCTACATTCGTGTGCACTTCTCGTTCCACGCTTAGGTAACCGTATGTGAACGGGTATTCACACTCAAATTACGCTTCCTTAGACACCTCCTGTAATGCAGGAAGATAGACTACAGAACACAATAGATTTCCCTAGGGAGACCGGTGATGTGCAAGGGAACGTTTGGTTCCAGTAGTATTACTAGTAAGTAGATATTTGGCGTTTATGCGGTCTTTGCTTTGCTTGTAATAAGACTATCATTGTAAAAAGAAAATGATTTGTTCTTTTGCTTGCCTTCTTTTCAAAAAATTCGACTACTTTAAGGGTGGCCTATACTTTTCACAGAGAACAGTTTAACCCATTCGAGACGACGATTTTTTTCGAACACGGTCCCCAAGAGCGAAGCTCTTTTTCTCTTTATATTATTCATTTTTAATAAAAAAAAAACTAGATTACTTAGAATGTTTTCATTGCGTGGAGCGGATTGAACACCATGTGTGTAATATAAGGTGGTATAAGGTTTTACCTCGATAACAATTTTATTCAGAATAATTGATAATTACTCATTACTACTGTTGCACACCTGGTGTCTTATAGCCGGTCTTATAGCCTTGGAAATCAATTGCACACACGGTGTGCAATTGGTCTCGAATGGGTTAACAAAATTATTATTAACTTCCAAACGAAGTTTTCCTGCATTACGAAAGGAAATCAAAGGATACAATAAATTTAGGAAAATAATGTAGTAAATATGTTTGTTTAGGATGATATTTACGATGGAAGTTGCTGTTTTTATGTGAACCATAGGTCTATAACTATATTGTACCTTTGTATGGGCTGTGGAGAGTAAATTCGACTTCCGTAGGAAAAATGCGGCAAACAAGGGGAATAG